GATGGATGGATGGATGGATGGATGGATGGATGGATGGATGATGGATGGATGGATTAGTGATTCTTTTCTTGCCTGGAATTTCTTTTCTCACTCCCTTCAAAGGGTCAGGCATCCTTTATCTTAAAATTATTTCAACCAGCAGTTCCATATTTTTTTCATTGAGTATTTAACAATGAATGCCCTGTCACCAGTTATTCACGCCATTACAGCAGGAAATTAAATAAATTTTGTTTGCATTATGATAATGAAATGCCATGGACTATTTAAACCCTACCCCAAATTGATTACTATCCCATAGATAGTAATCTTTTTAGCTAAACTAACAAAGCTCCTTATTTGTTAAACGAAAAATATGTAAATATCTAACAGGTATTTCAACTCCATAGAAACAAACTTTGATAAATATACCAGACGGCCAACTGGTATATACCATCAGTTTTGCTCTGAAGCTTATAAATACCCCTATAAGGACTTAGAATAATTAAATAAAATTATAGAGCTTTCAAGACTGCTATGAACATTTAGAAGTTTTAAAAAGTGTAAACTAAAACATAAAAAATAGAAGGAAACAGAAAGGAAAAAACCTCCTGAACTCGCAGGGAAACATTTCCATCTTATTTGACTAGACAGATATGGAGGAATCACGAGAGAAGACTAGTTAAAAATGTTTTTTTCATCTAGGCCTATATCTGAATAATCCATTGTAAATTAATGCAATATTTATTTTGGATATAGTTCAGTTATTCCTTTGAAAGAAATAAAGTAATATTTTGTGTTAGACTACAACTAACAAGCCATAAGAAAAAAAAATCTCAAAATTAAAAAAGCGTTATTCCATCTTGGTTTGTGGCATAGTTTGTTTTGCAGTAGTAATAGTTTGTTGGAATTGAGTGTTTGCAATACATGAATTGAGAATGCATGCTTAAATTGGAAACTGCAGATTTCAGTGGTTTGTGGAACCAGGTGTCTTTCATTTCACCTGTGTACATAAGGAAGTTACATAGATTAGTCACAAAAAGCTCATATCAGCTTGCTTTAGTCAACGTCCTCTTTAATGCCTCGCAAACTGGTTCCCTCAACATCCGCCCAATTCCATGCCTCTAAATTATTGCGATATAACTGCTGTCTGTACTCGCGCCAGCTTGAAGCCCCCTCTCTGATTAGCTCAATCCAATCAGGTTGCAGTGATTGCGCTTAGATTTAAATGCTGCAGCTCTAAGTAGGAAAATGTCCTTTGGAAATTGAGGCTTCCTTCAGGTGTGCTCACAAATTCTCAAGCCAACACCATACAATTCAACAGTGCTGTGAAAGTATTTATCTTCTTTTTTATCCATCCACCCATCCATCGTCTTCCGCCTACCAGGGGTCGGGTTGCGGGGGTAGCAGCTTCAGTAGGTCGGCCGGGACATCCCTCTCCCCTGCCACTTGGGCCAGCTCTTCCAGGGGAATCCAAAGGGATTCTCCAGCCAGTCGAGAAACATAGTCTCTCCCGCGTGTCCTGGGTCTCCAGGAGGCATCCTAACCAGATGTCTGAGCCACCTCAGCTTGCTCCTCTCGTAGTGGAGGACAAGCGGCTCTACTCTGAGTCCTCCCCCAATGACTGAGCTCCTCACCCTATCTCAAAGGGAGAGCTCAGACGCACTACAGAGAAAACTCATTTCGGCCGCCTGTATCAAGGATATGACCCAAAGCTCATGACTATAGATGAGGGTAGGAACGCAGATCGGTAAACCGAGAGCTTTGTCTTTGGGCTCAGCAAAAAGCAATGCTGTTACTTAGAGTAAAGACTAGTCAAACTAACCTGGCAACTGATCATTTCTTTCAGAAATCCAAGTTCTATTTGACTCAGCATGCTGGCTGACCTGCAGACAGGCAAGACTTTAGCTCTCTTATTATGCTTTAAAGTTAAGAAAATCACCAAACAATAATAAAAAAAACAGTCATAGACATCTATTTGTTATGTGTAGAGTTGCAAAAACATTGCTAAGGCTTTGTAATTCAGTATATACCACATTAAAACCCATGTTCCTCAAATAGCAAAAAAAAAATATGATACCTTCCCTGAATTCCTGACCTACCCAAATCGTCCTCTGAGGGCATTAACTAATTACTTTACAGGTCACAAAAGAACCATAAACAAACCATTTCAAACACTGAAGGGCTCATTTGGATTTAATGGGAGAGTGGGCATCCTGGTGAATATTGTATAAAGTTAACTCAGCCTTTCAGAAACAGAACATTATAGCCTACCTACAGTCACACGTGGTAATGAGATGGTCTGGGTCCTCTTTTCCTCAGCATGTGGAAAACTTGGCATAACCGATAGAAGCACAATATCCACTTTTTTCCTGAGGGAAAAACTTTTGCCATCAGTCCCTGATCTCAGCAAAACATGATGTAAACCTCAGGGGAATGACACAAAGTACATACATTTATATATATATTTTATTATTTAACCTTTATCTAACTGGGTAAAAAAAACATTGAGATTAAAAACCTGTTTTTCAAGGGAGTCCTGGCCAAGAGTCAACATGTTTACACATTAAACAGAGAGACATATTATATTAAATTGACAGGTTAATCAATTAAAAACACAAATCAGGTGAAATGATGGGATCTCCATAAAGGAGGACATTTTTTTTTACAAATATCCCTGGAAATTCCTTTTGAATCAAAAAGATAACCAGACAATAAAAAAAATGCTGATTAAAACCACTCAAAATTTCAGTTCGATCATAAACTACTAAAAGTTCAAATGTTAGAAGAGTCTATGAATTTTTATTAAAAGAGGTTTGATCATTTTCCAGAATTTCTGTGGATCATTGAGGTTTTAGTGGCGACAGACAAAAAGTATTCTGCTTTGGCCCTTTAATGAGCAAAGTACATTTATTTTGAAGGTGCCTAAAAAAGGACCAGTCATGGCAGTTACTTCGTCTTGCCTTGTCCCATGCTTAGTGCTTAGTCCAGGGTGGACCTCGCCTCTCGCCCGTAGACAGCTGGAGATAGACACCAGCGCCCCTCGCCACCCCACTTGGGATTAAGCGTGTCTGAAAATGGATGGATGGCTGGATGCATGTTTGTTTACAGCTTGCAAGAAAATGTCTCTGAATAAAGCAATCCCTAAATCTGGAATTAGATTTAAATATTCCCAGTTTACAAATAAACAAGTCTTTAAAAAAATGTATTCAGTTCAAAACTTATTTATTGTTCCCAAATGGAAAATGAAAGTTGTAGTTTCTCAGTTTTTTTTTTCTTTTTTCTTTAATGAGTTGTTGTTGACTTTGATAGCTCTAAGCATCAATGGTCTTCTCTAGCATATTCTCTTGCACTGGATCAGGACAAAACTTTGACTCGGTTACTCAAACCAAGTTCTGGCATGACCTAGTCAAAGTCTGGACTTAAACTCCTCCAAAAAGCCATGACATGAAAAGACCTTTAACAGGCCATTCATGCCTTTTACATTTTGTTTCTTCCACTCTCTCAATAAAATACAATGTTTTTGTTCTTTCTTATTTAACTCTTGTTTCTATACTCTTTCTGTCTTTGTCTCTTCTGCAGAAACAAGTTGTAAACGATGTGAAGATTTGCTGTACTCACCAGAGGGCAAAAGACATACCTGTGTGAATAAAAAGGAAATATTTCTCGAGTGGTCAGACCCATTCTCCATCATTCTGAGCACAATGGCTGCCTCCGCAATTGTTCTTACAGTTGTCATTGCTATCATCATTGGCATCAACTATGGAACTCCCATCGTTAAGGCAATTGGAGGTTGCTTGTGTTTTGTGGAGCTCGCCTCTTTGCTTCTCAGTTTCTGCCTAACGTTCACCTTTATAGGGAAACCAACAGCACATTCCTGTGTAGGTGTTCCTCTCTTTGGCATCACTTTCTCTCTCTGTATCTCCTGTATTTTGGCCAACCTCATTCAGATCATGGTGGGATTCAGCTTTGACCCAAAGATTTGCTCTAGGATTAAGAAGCTTAACCACCCAGTAGCTGTGGTGGTGATCATCTCCGGTGTGCAGGTGGGTGTGTCCCTGGCCTGGTTAATCCTACTCCCACGTAGTCCTCAGAAGGTGCCGCAGTTACCTGACACCATATTGTACCAGTGTGACTTTACCAATGAATCTATCAATTTTTTTGCAACTACAGTAGTTTATAACTCTTTCTGGGGCTTTGTGTGCTTTATTTTTGCATTCAGAGGTAGACAGCTACCTGACATTTACAAAAATGCAACATTA